TTTAATAGATTCATGGGCTTCTTTAATAGATTCATGGGCTTCTTTAATAGATTCATGGGCTTCTTTAATAGATTCATGGATTTAATAGATCATGGATTTCTTTAACAGATTCATGGATTTAATAGATCATGGAATTCTTTTATAGATTCATGGGTTATAACAACCATTTCACATTCCATGGGTTGTTTCACACACAACTCACACACACTCCACACATCCCAGAGCAAACTCCCCCAATCCCTTTGGATGAAGGGGAAGGGGCCGAGCTGCTCACCTGGCGTAGCCGATGATGAGGCTGCCAAAGACGGTCCCGATCCCCGCTCCCGACCCCGCCACCCCCACCGTGGCAGCCCCGGCCCCGATGAACTTGGCGGCCGTGTCGATGTCCCGGGACACGGCGCTGCTCTGGAATTCCCGGCGGATCAGCTGTGGGGAGGAGGCGGCGGCTGCCTGCGGGGACAGGGCAAGGAATCAGGAATAAGACAAGCTTGGGGTTCGGCCCCGCTCAGCGCAGGGCAGGGCTGGGAGCGAAGCCACGTCCCCGTATTTGCCATCCTCTGGATGATCAGGGAAAATCATCAGGTAGAGCAAAGACACCAAGAGGTGGTTTCCCACTTGAGTCTCACCTGTGCAGTCTGAGCCTCAGGCCTGCTGAACACAGACACTGAAACGGGCCTGGCCAGAGCCCTGGAGCAGCAGCGGAACTGCAGGAAACACAGACAGGGAGCAGTCAGAGAATTCTGGGATCTCCTGAGCTGGGAGGGACACACCAGGATCATCCAGCCCAACCCCTGGCCCTGCACAGACACCCCAACAATCCCACCCTGGCCCTCAGAGTTGTCCAAATGCTCCCTGAGCTCTGGCAGCCCTGGGGCCATGACCAAACCCTGGGGAGCCTGGTCAGTGCCAACCACCCTCTGGGGGAAGAACCTTTCCCAAAATCTAGTCCAGACCTCCCTGACACATCTGTTCCCTGGCTCCTGTCACTGGTCACAGAGAGCAGAGATTGCTGCTCCTATAATTTGATGTATCTGCACCAACCCTCAGAAGAACACTTTATGAAGAAAAGTATGAAAATTTTCTGAAAACATCAACTATGACACAAGACTAAAAAATAAAGGCATACGATACTCCCATTTCAGCCAGTTGGATTAAGTCCATGAGCAATTCCACACACCACAGGCTGCAGCACAGCGTCACATCTGCCACAGCAATTTAATTATTGCCACGTTTCCATACGTTTCCTTTCTAATTCATCCCTTCAAAGAGAGGGGTGATCGAGTATCTCTGTGGAAATCAGTTCAGTTTATCTTGGGAGAAGGCCCTGGTAGCTCACTCCCATCTATTTGCATGGTGTCACCAGAGGTCACCTTGTTTCCCTTCCTCCTTAAATCCCAAACAGACCCACATGATCCCACCTCAGCTGAGGGTGTCCAGGGCAGCATTTTGGAGCAATCCCTGCCCATCCCATGTCCCCACTGAGAATTATCATCCCACTGCAATGGAAGGCGACTCACCAGTGCCGGGGAGCTGAGAAGTGCCACGGGAGCCTGCATTTTGTTAATCTAAGGCAAATAAACAAAACAAACACAAGGAGTTGGGACTCCTGGCACTGTTATCACGTGCCAACCCCCTCCGGGCTCAGACCCACATCTGACCTCGGGTCCATCTGCTGCCCTCCACTTCCACGTCCCCAAGGTTGTGTCCCCACCACACCTCTGCGTCCCCGAGGTTGTGTCCTCACCACGGCTCCGTGTCCCCAAAGTTCTGTCCCCATCATAACTCTGTGTCCCCAAGGTTGTGTCCCCACCATAACTCCGTGTCCCCAAGGCTGTGTCCCCAGAATGGCTTCATGTCCCCAGAATGGCTCCGTGTCCCCAGAATGGCTCCGTGTCCCCAGAATGGCTCCGTGTCCCCCCCCCGCTGTCCCCGAAGCTTTGTCCCATCGGCCCTTGTGTGTCCCCGGGCTGTCCCCGAGGCTTTGTCCCCACCTTTGTCCCCTGGGCCCTGCCCCCCTCCCAGCTCCCCGTTCCCCCTCCCTCCCCGTCAATCCCCGCTCGGTGCCCTCCCCGGGCCGGCTCAGAGCTGCTCATCGCGCCCTCCCCGCCACACCCGAACCCCCCGAACCCCTCATGAGGGCAAGGGCAGCGAAGGCGCCACCGCGCCCTCCGCGCGGCGAAGGGCACGACCCCAGCGAGCGCCGGCCGCGCCCCGAGCTGCCCCGGAACCCTCCGGGGCTGCCGCGGCGGCGGCGGGGCCGGGGTCGGGCCCGGGAGCGGGTCCCACCTGCGCGGGGTCCGCTCGGGGCGGCGGCGGCGGCGGCTCTGAGGGGGGAGCGTCACCTTGGCCGTGTCCCCCCCGGCGTCCTCCGCGCCCATTGGCCGCCGCCGCGCGCGCGCGCCCGCGCCCGCGCCCCTCATTGGCCGGGCCCCCGACGGGCCCCGCCCTCCCCGCCCGGCTTCCCGCCGTGCCCGGATGCGGGAGGGCGGGGGCGGCCGCGCGGGAGGCGATTGGTCGGCTGGGCCGGCGGCGCGCTCGCTGATTGGGCGGCGCGGGTGTCAATCACCGCGCGCGCGCGCCGGGGGGGCGGGAGGGGAAGGGATGGGATCGATCCCGGGAAAAGGAGCCGAACCTTCCAAATATTGGCGAGTTTGACACCCCCCCCCCCCCCGAGCATCTTTACATCACGGCACCCAAAGAAACAGTCCCGTTTGCAGGGAGTTTCTCCCCGCGAGAGCAAATTTCTCCCCCCTCGACCTGTTGGTTATCCATCAACATTAAAGGAAAGAAATAGAGGTTTTTCCTTGTTTTTTAGTGTTATTCAGTTACTCTTCACGGTGTAATTGCGTTTCCAACAAACCCCTCCATACATGGATACTGAAGACACGGCTGGTCGCTGTAACAAGTAAAAGCGAATCCCCCAGCCACGAGGCGCCAAAAAAAATAAATAATAATCATCAGAATAATAAAATATTGTCTGGGGGACAAGGTGGGGATCGGGCACAGGGTGGACTCGATGATCTCAGGGGGCTTTTCCAGCCTCGGTGATTCTGTGATTCCATGAGCCAGCTCACAGCCCAGAGAACAACTGAATCCTGGGCTGCATCCAAAGGAGCGTGGCCAGCAGGTCTAAGGAGGGGATTCTCCCCCTCTACTCTGCTCTGGTGGGACAAAATCCTCTTTAAGGTCCTTCCAACGCCTTAACATTCTATGATTCTGCTCCCGGGGTGTCCTGATCACCAGGACGTCCCAGTCCCAGGGGTGTCCCTGGGCACCAGAGTGTCCCAGTTCCAGGGGTGTCCTGGGCACCAGAGTGTCCCGATCCCACGGCTGTCCTGTTACCGGGATGTCTTGGTCTCTAGGGTGTCCCGGTTCCAGGGATGTCCTGGTCACCAGAGTATCCCGGCCCCCTGGTTTTCCCCGTCCTCGGGGTGTCCCGGTCCCGGGGGGTGTCCCAGTCCCCAGGATGTCCCGGTCCACGTGTTGTCCCGGTCCCAGGGATGTCCTGGTCACTGGAGCATCCCGGTCGCGGGTTGTCCCGGTCCCAGGGATGTCCTGGTCACCGGAGCATCCCTTTCCCGAGGTGTCCTGGCTCCCGGGATGTCCCGGTCCCTCGCTGCGAACTACGAGTCCCAGCAGCGCGGCGGGACCGCCCAGGGGTGGTACCGGCCCGGGCATCCCGGGCGGGGTATCCCGGGGGCTCCACCTATTCCCGATCTTCCGCCCGCTCCTCGCAGCCCCGCAGCGTTCCCGTTTTCCAGCCGCGCCGCCGGTGAGTGGGGCGGGGGGATGAGGCGCCGGGGTCCCGCGTCCCCCTCCCGGGATGTCCCTCGGGATCTCCCTCGGGATGTCCCTCGGGATGCCGGGGCTGCCCCGGGGCGAGGGGACAGCGACACTTTCGCTTTCGTTTCCCGGAGGGGGGGTCCGGGCCGGGGGCGGGGGGGACATCCCCGGGTCGCTCCCCCCCCATCCAGCGGGACCCCCCCGCCGGTGTCCCGGTGCCCAAGCGCGGCTGGAAGTCGGTCCCGTTGAGAAGGGGAAATCCCCTGGTTTTCCACGTCCTGGGGACGCTGCAGGATAACAAAACCAGCGCGAGAGAAGGAAAACGCCCGGGGAGCCCCCGGGGGGAGAGGCTGCACCGGGGAACGCGGCGTTTTTTCCTCTCCGGGGAGATGCGGCGGTGCCTCGGCCCCGGGACGGGATCGGCGCTGCCCCCGAGGGGTGTCCCGGTCCCTCGGGGCGTCTCCTGCCAGCCCCGATAACTCCCGAGCTGTTCCGTAACAACGGTGGGAACGACGATTAAAAGCCCTCCCCGCTCCGTTTCCTGCCGGCTTTTCCTGGGAATGAACTGCACGCCCTGCCAGCAGCACATTCCGTGCGAGCTCTGCCTTTGTTTCCTTCAGGATCACAGCTATTTTCAGCGAAACCAACTTTTTTTTTGTCCCATTAGAATCGTTTTGCTGCATCCAAACAGCGACTCTTGGTTTTCTTTGCGAGTTGCTGTTGGCAGCGAGGGCTCCCCTGCTGTCCCAGGGCGATGCAGTAACACCATTAAGGGTCTGCTCTGACATTTATTTTCGGTTTTATTTCTGTTTTTTCTCTCTCTGGCGGCTCTCGGGAAGTTGCAGGTGCTCAGGAACTGCGGCTCACAAGGCACGGCGGGGCGGGGAAGGTTGACATCAGCCGGGTCAAGCTGAGGCTTGGATGAATCACAAGCCCTGTCCCACCCTTCACTGAGGTAACTCAAAGTGAAAGCGCAGCCCCGGGTGGCCCAGGGGATCGTGCCACGTCCCTGGCCAGGGTGTGCCCTGCCCTCTGCTCCCAGCAGGAGGAATTCCCCATCCTCAGGGCAGCCTGTGTCAGTGCAGTGTTTGCTGCTCCTTCCAGCTGGGGATACATTTCCTTTTCCCAGCACATCCCTGCAATCCCGACCTGAACTTCGACCTGTTTTTCAGGGTATTTGGCACAGAGTACAGACAATCTCCTGGGTGATGCCATAAAAAAAAATCCAGCAGGGTTCCAGGGAGTTCATTTCCATGGGAAATTTCTGGATTGGAGGTGACCTGAAACCCAGCTGGAGCTGTGCCAGGGCAGGGTCAGGGTGGATCTCAGGGAAAGGTTCTTCCCCCAGAGGGTGGTTGGCACTGCCCAGGCTCCCCAGGGCAGTGGGCACGGCCCCAAGGCTGCCAGAGCTCCAGGAGGGTTTGGACAATGCTCTGAGGGCCAGGGTGGGATTGTTGGGATGTCCTGGGCTGGATGATCCCGGTGAGTCCCTCCCAGCTCAGGATATTTTTTCCCTGTGTGCTGCAGTGACTGTCCCTCACCAGTGGGATGGTTGCTCACAATGAACTTTCCCTCTGCTCCGAGGTCATTCCTTACCCCTGAGATCAGCTGAGGAGCTCCTGCTTCGGATTCCTGGAATGGCATTTCCCAGGATTGGCAGCAGGGTTTTCCCAGCCCCTTGCCGGGCTGCCAGGGCAGCAAGGAGGGTGATTTATTCCCTGTTCCCAGCCCTGGCAGCTCGGATCCCCCTTGGATCGATGCCCCCGCGCCACATTTCCATCGAGGTGTTCATGGGGTCAGGACAGGACGGGAAATTTTCCGTGTGGGGAAACTCCAGGAGCTCTGCTGCTGTTTGCTGCCCCTGCTGACACACAGCGGGGTCCTCTCGGGGCAGGGAGTCATCTTGCAACTCCAGCTGAGCTGTCACGTGCAGGGAGGCTATAACAGCCCTGGGACAGGGGCTGGGCACACACAGAGCCCTGGGACACGGGCTGGGCACACACAGAGCCCTGGGACACGGGCTGGACACACACAGCCCCCAGCACCTCCTCCCATGGGAGCAGAGCTCAGCCAGGTACCTCTTTCCCCCCGGAACCAGGACACTGGAGGTGACAGACGGGGTGTTGGGAGGTCGAGTCGTGGCATTGGAGAGCGTCCAAAGGAGGGACACGAGGATGGGGAGGGACCCTCCATGGGAGGGACCCTCCACGGGCACAGCCAGAGGGGTGAAATAACCCCCTGATCCTTCCCTCTCACAGAATTCCACCATGGATGATTCCTCTGAGGACCCTCCCACCTCTGCCGTGCTCCTGGACAGCTGCCACTTCTCCCAGGTGGTTTTCAACAACGTGGAGAAGTTTTATGTGCCCGGAGGAGACGTGACCTGTCACTACACCCTCACCCAGAACATCACTGCCCGGGGCAAGGACTGGGTGGGCATCTTCAGGGTGAGTGGGTGCTGGGAAAAGGGGGGTGCTGGAAAAAGGGGTGTGCTGGGAAAAGGGGAAGGAGCAGGAGGCAGGAACAGAGAGCTTGGACTTTGTCACAGCCAGGGTGGGGAATTTGTTTCATTGATAACTTTGTGTTAATGGGGACTTTGTCACAACGAGGGTGGGGAATTTTTTTCGGTAATAACTCTGTGTAATGGAATTTCTTTGTTGTGCCAGGGGACAAAGTGTGGCCTGAACGGGTTCAGGGCTCATCAACCACTCAGATCAAGTGTCCAAGGCCAGGTTGGACGGGGCTTGGAGCAGCCTGGGCTGGTGGAAGGTGTCCCTGCCCATGGAATTCATTCCTGTTTGGAATGAGATGATCTTTAGGGTCTTCCCAACCCAAACCATTCTGTAATTCCATGATTATCCTTTCATGCACAGACCACGACCCTTGAAAATCAGGATATCCCTGCAAAAAACCTCCCAGGAACTGATCCACATGGAAATAAAGCCCTGTTTCCGTGGGATAAACCCGAGTGATGCCACGTGACAATTTTCCTGTTGCAGGTGGGGTGGAAAACAACCCGGGAATATTACACCTTCATGTGGGCCCCCCTGCCTGCTGCTGGCCTCGGGGACACTGCTGTGCAGCAGAAGATCCAGTTCAAAGGTGAGCTGGGAGCTTGGATCCCCCTGGGAATGTGTGAGTGCCCTTTGCTGCCACCAACAAACACAGCATTTGGAATTCTGGGATAGCTGGGGGACCATGGTTTGGGAACCTTTCATATCCCCTCATAAATCATAAAAATCTTGAATCTGCTGAATTCCACCCTCCTGACTGAGTGATGTTTGTGCTGTTGCCCCTGGCACATGGAACTGCTGACACTGCAGGAATTACTGGGCTGGGATGTGGGAGCTCCCCGAGGTTCTCACTCTCTGTGCTGTGATTAAGAGCCCTGAACAGTTCAAAGCCGTGTGTGAGGAGGTTGTTGTGTTTGTCTCAAGCTTACTACCTGCCCAAGGATGATGAGTACTACCAGTTCTGCTACGTGGACCAGGATGGGATGGTCAGGGGGGCCAGTGTCCCCTTCCAGTTCCGGGCAGAGGCTGAGGATGATCTCCTGGTGGTCACCACACAGGTCTGTGTCCTGCTTTTCACTGCCCCAGCTTTTATTGGCACACTGAGTGATCCCACAGCCCCCAGGCCAAGCTGCAGCTCAGCAGACTTGGATTCTGTTCTTGGCTTTGCTGCTTGGAGCCTTTCCTGCCATTTGCCACCTGAATCCTGAGCTCCAGGGACTCAATACCGAGGGTTTCGGGCCATTTTGGGTGTTTTGAGATGAAAATGTCGTTTGCATGGGACCAGCCTGCCATTAGAGGGGAGCAAAGGGGGTGCACATGGACAAGAATGGGACGTGGACAAGCAGGAATGGCTTCAAACTGGCAGGGAGGGGGTTTGGATGAGTTGTGAGGGGGAAATTCTTGGCTGTGAGGGGGCCCTGGCACAGCCTGCCCAGAGCAGCTGGGGCTGCCCCAGCCCTGCAAGTGTCCAAGGCCGGGCTGGACAGGGCTTGGAGCAACCAGGGGGTGGGACTGGATGATCTTTAAGGTCCTTCCAGCCCAGCTCCTCCTGGTTCCATGATTCTGATGACTGAGGGGCTGTGAAGCCAATCACTCTTATATTTTACTGTCTTGTGTGCAGCCCTTTGTTCATGACTCCCCTGCACACAGGGCCCTAATCCAGCCCCAAAGCCCCAAAGCTCTGCCCTCTGCAGCCACAGAAGGCTCTGAGCATCCCCAGGGCTCAGGGTGTGCTCAGTGCTCAGGAATTGGGTCATGGTCAGCTCTGGGCACAGGGTGGGGGGTGAGGAGAGCTCAGGCCAGGGCAGCACACGCTGTTCCCTCTGCCCAGCTCAGCTTTCCCTGCTCTGCCCTCCCTGCTCTGCCCTCCCTGCTGTGCCCTCTGGAACGTGGGGCTTTGCTGCTGGGACCAAACAACAACTCTGTCTCCTGCCAGGGGGAGGTGGAAGAGATCGAGCTGCAGAACAAAAACCTGCGCCAGGAGAACGAGGAGCTGAAGGCCACTTGTGCAAACCTCCAGCAGCAGAACCTGCAGCTGCAGGAGGAGCTCAAGAAGACACAGGTGAACCAAAAAGTTCATGTATTTAAGGCAGAAGCTTTAAGTCTGAAAGGTGACGAGGAACTGAGTGAAGTCTTGTCCCACTGAATGCTTCCAGGAGAAAATTGGAAGGGTTTTTCTCCCCATATTATCTGTTTAATCCTTTACCAAATCATACAACTGTGATAAAAAACAATGATGGTGAAAGGAGACATCTGCACACCCGGGAGCTGGGAACATATGGGGAGGGGAGTGTTCAAAAATGCTTTCTAGGCTGAAAAATCACGTGGCAATTATCTTTTCCTCTTTCAGTTTTGCTCAGGGCTTAATGCAAATGAAAAGGGTCTGAAGGAGGATGCAAAGGAGGGATTTTCCTCCTTAGATGAGCTGCCTGGCCCTGCTGCATTGGAGGGGCTTTGCAGGGCCAGGATTTATTGCTTGGGTCCCCTTTCCCTCCTGTCAACCTCCCTGGGATTTTCAGGAGCTGCAGAAAAGTCTGGAGTCTTTCAGGAGCAGCACAGAGAAACTGGAGCTGGAGCTGAACTCCCTGAAAATGGAGAATAAGCAGCTGAAGGAGCAGAGTGACTGCACAGGGGCAGAGCTGCAGCAGTGAGTGCCTTTACAGCTCATTTCCAGGC